CTCCAAACCACCAACCGCCGATTAGAGAGAAGCTGATCCTCTCCACTTATTGGGTGTGTCTTTTTTAGGCTGCTTGGTTTCAACGCGACCCCACAAGGAAGCCACCCACTTCGTGTGTGTAATTTTAAGTCCTCGCCCACGTCTCACCGGTGACCGCTCGATTCGAGAGACTCGAGGCAACTGCGCGCGGTGACAGAGCAGGTGGCCGCCATCAACGGCAGCTGGGCGCAGCATGTGGAGCAACTCCACAAGCAGTACGCCCGCAAGGCATTGGCCGAATCCGTAGACTTCCACTTGCAACATATTTGTTTCCCCTGTTGGCTTCAAAAGGAATTTATCACTACTGGAAATATGTGTTTTGATCCAGGGGGCTTGAGTAAATGAGAGTAGAGGGCGATGCTTTGGATTTCCTAATGGCCATCACATGCTGGGTCTGCCCTACCAAGTTAACCCAGCTCCAGTTGTCTCCCTCGCCGTCAGAGAAGCATGTTGACTCATCTGGATTCTTCGTTCCTATTTTAATTCGACTGGAAGCGATATCCCTCAGTCACTGGAAGTTGCTTTCCTATTCGGAAGGCGCCGGCAGAGGTCTGTAGGGGTGTCGTGTTCGTGGTTCCGGTTTTTGGATGGTACTGTTCTTTGGAGCGGGTTTGAAGGGACACCACAAGGAAGACCAGAGCCGTTCGCAAAGAAGACAACCCCAGAGAGTTCCAGCCGGTTGGATGCCCTGAAAGAATAAGGTGGTACAAAAGCAGGACGTACCAACATAATTAGGCAGCCTTCTCTACATATGAGCTCAAATGGCTGTGGGTCAAAAATAGGTACCCCAAATGGGTTGCCCTAGTAAGTGGAGACATGGACCTAAACCTGCGGTCCAATTCCTGGTTTAATTTCGACCCATACCCATATTCTCCCGCAGCCAGCAAAGCCACGGTGAGTGCCTCTGCGTTCTGCTTCGGGCGCCTTTTGTTCCTTCAAACTCGACGCCTGCAACACAAGCGATGGGGCGGTTCAATCGCAAGGCAAGCCGGTGGAAGCGGAAGGGAACCCGGTGATAGGTCTGCTGGCAGATGTTTTTTTTGGTTTTTATTTTTCGATGGGGTACTCCAGAATGGAGAGTTTCCTTGGGGTTCCCTTTACCGCTCCAAAAGGCCCTCGAAAAAGACGCCCCGATACTGTTTGTTTACACGGGTTCAAAGCGAGTCCATTGTGCGCACATCTAAGTTGACCCGCCCTTTTGCCAGTTTTAAGATCAGAAGGTTGCCGTTTGGATTCGGCGGCACATCTCTTTGTCTCGGCTCGTCCTGCAACGCAGGCGACGGATCCGGCAGTTGGATGATGCCAACGAAGACTTCAAGGTCTCGCTTTCATGAAAGCCGGCCGTAACCTGCAGCGCCGCTTCGCAACAAGGCGCGGCCATGTTTGCAAGCCCATGTTGGCTCCTCTTCAAGCTTCAATTCTGGGCGCTCTCGAATGGCAATGTCCACTTCTCCGCATGCCGACATCGGCCTTCCTCTCACGAAGTCGGCCTTTGTGTGCTCCAGGGGGCCTGCTCCTGGCGACGAAGGGACGCGAACTTGCGCACGAGACCCGAGATCGCCGCGACCCACGCTCCAAGGCCTGAGTGCCTGCCGCGTGAATTGTCGGCACCACTGAAATATCAGGAGCACGCAAAAAGGGTTTGTGCATGTTCTTACATGGGGCAATTTAAATATGCAAGGTGGGCAATACAATCCCCATAGCTTGTGAAGAGTAGGCGATGTCAGCTGCAGGAGGCCGGCATGTCCCTAACGTCTACCGTCTACCGGTGGAGAGACTGCATGTCCGAGGGAGCTGTTGATTTCACTTTGCATGTATGTGTTTGTTTTCTGAATGGTTGGCTTCTTTGGTTTGTTCGGCTCAATTCATCAACGGGTATGGGTCCCTAGTTTGTACAGAATCCCTCCAGCTACCGTGCTGTTAGCCATCCCTAAAGGGTTCTTCCTTTTGCAGAAGCAGGGATGGATGGCCACGCGGAGTTCCCACCCACTTCAAAGTGAACGGACATGGGGTCCCCTTGCAACCCCAAGAAGTCCCAAGAGACTCCTTCAGGTGACGACCTCACGGCGACCCACGGATCTGTGCCGCGGCGTTTGTGGCCCTCTACGTCCGAGATGAAGCCCTGAAAGGCTCAAATGGAAGGTCCATCCCCCAGCTAGGTGCCCTTTCTCACCCTTTTTTGGTTGGGAGGGCCCTGACTAAAATACACTACGGAGAAAAGGGTACCCTTATTCCAACCTCTCTCCTGGAGGACTTAGGGAAGGTCGATCCATGAAACCGGTCGTTGCCGAAGCATTCGCTCCATAGCATTGATTTGTGCCCTTTCGGCCGGAAGCTTCGCATGTTGAACCGCTGGTTGAAGTTCGGGTTCGTATGGTACCCTGCCATACGATTCAACATGGCCAGTCGCGTGTGTGCAGACCCGAAGTTTGTTGGGCGAGAATCACTCGGCCTTCCATTGGCTTGACCCAGTCTGAAATTCCAATAAATACATTATATATGCCTATATATATACATATATATATATATACAGTATGTATGGCATGGTCACAACAAGGCACAATTGCTCTTCGACTGCAAAGGCCCTTCGATTGAGAAGCAACGGCATCGCACTCCAACATATTTGGTCACAAGAGTGGATGTGAATGTGTCATATTGTGCACGCGTGCATGTGTGCCCAGGTCAAAGCATGTTTGTTGCTCGTACTTGGGGTTGGCAGGGATAGTCATGGACCATTTAATAGGAAGTCTGGCGACTCTGAACATGGCCCACACAAGAAGTTTCACCCAGTTCAACAAGACGGGCGTTCAATCCATCAGCGCACGTTAGAGTTCATTCGATCGAGCTTAGCCGTCTGGATAAACACTTCCTGGAGATTCATTCTCCGGGCTTTTCCTAGGCGTTTTAGTTTCCTGGTAGTTTTGGGCATGTTGGGCGTTCTAAGTGGTTTTTAGGAGTTTTGCGCGACCTCCGAGCCCAAAAAGCGTCTTTTTCTGATTTGCGGGGTTTTGCGGGCGTTTGCGGGCTTTTTGCGGGCGTTTTGCGGGTAATTCTGGGCGGGGAAGACGTGAAACCGTACCAATTCTAGAAATCTCACAAAAATATAGGAGCTTTAGTAGTTTTAGGCGACTTCACGAAAAAAACATCGAGATTTACAAAAAGCAAGTCAAAGCCGAGAACTATATACCAGGAAATTCATGGAAAATGAATCTCCAGGTTGTTCCATTAGGTGTCCTAGTTGGTGGTTTTGCTGGAAAATCGATTGCCCTGGCTGACCTGGTTGTCTCATAAGCTACCAGGTCCATCTAGTTTCCCAATTTGACACCTATGCGTCTTCCGCGTCCGAGGAACGTGATCTGCGGCTCCCAAAGGCGGCGAGCATTGCGCGGAAAACAAGAGTGATGCCGTATGAATCGATCCCATGGCGATCTCACAGGATGACACGAGCCTTTCCAACCACGATGAACCTAATGTCAGGGGTGTGTCTGTACACTACATATATACATACATATACATATATATATATAGTTACATATATATATATATCTACACATATATATATATATCTACATATTGTTTCATACATATATATATATATGCATATATATATATGTATGAGTTATATGTGTGACTGCCTATATTTGCAGAAGACTACGGCAACGGCCGGGCGGACAAATTTTCGGGCAACACGCTGAAGTAAGTGCGTTTAACGAAGTAGTGGAACACCCCAAAAAAGGCCATGATATCACAAACAGCTGCAACATTGGACAACGAGGTCAATGAGCCCAAACGGGTGCGGGGTTGGAGAATGAGGTGGGAACACTCGACCATTCAACAATGTAATATGGCGTGACAACTCCTGAAGAATCTTGGGTGAGACCGGCACGTAAGTGCAACAAGCCATTGGCATATGCAAATCAACTTGTAGGCAAACGAGACAAACACCCTCAAGTTCCATGTGGAGTTATGATCTGTATTTCATGCGAATTGATTGTTCTGAGCAGATGCAGCCATAGTTATTGTGTTTCTGGATGCAATCACGCTGCTTCAATCACCAAGCAAGGGTACTAGACAGGTTTGTATGCCAAGCTGTCGCTTCAATCATGTCGTCAAGTTGTTCATTGCCCCCCAAGGCCAAATTAGAATGGCTTGAAGGTTCAGCTGAGTTGCTAGTTGCTAGTGTGTTCCATCATGTCTTCCTGACTTGCTCCTTGAACAGATTCTGGCCATTTCGTGGTTCTAGTTAATACGTTCAATTCGCAGGAGCACAGGCTCAAGGTTTGGGGGAAGTTTGTCACCGGTCGTATTGCCAGGAGCCGCCAAAGCTTCGCGGCCGAGCAACGACAGAGGGGCCTGGCGTGAGCCGCGGAACCTTATGTTCGGAGGAAAAAGGGCGACGGCTGCACAGGCAGAAGGCGGTCTTCGGGTCTGTGAGCCACGGCTCCCCGATATTCGCCGACATCTGCTTTTGCACGGATGAGTGACTGTGGCATGAGCCTGAATTTCTGAATCGTTGTCTTGCAAAATGACCTCATAAGGCAGGCATTCAGTTTTTCTCCCTGGCTTATGTTGACCGTCTGCTTTGAATGGGCTTCCATGCGTGGCTGCTTCGTGTGCAGTTTACCTGGACTTTTTGGCTGTTGTAGGAGTGCGTCGGACAACCTGAGCATTGTTCTGAGTGGAAGGGATACGTTTGTGTGTTAGTCCGTCTTTGTGTAAAACAAGGGGAGCTGACACTTACTGCTGCCGCAGGGCCAAAACACAATTCAAGTATTGTTTGGTTTTGGGCGCTTCGGAGTCTGCCTTAAGTTCACATTTGGCTCGTTGTTGTGATGTGTCGTGTTCTTCCCGCTAGGTTTCGCCCCGTACACTTCAGAGGAGAAGCTTCAGTTTGATTTCGGATGCCCTGGTGCTATGAATTTCAGGAGGATTTTGCAGAGAGTCTCTGCGAATCCGCGAGGCCCGCCACAGTCGCTCAAATAGGACACCATCCACAAAGCTAGCGCAATCAGTCTTCTGGACTTGGACTGGCAACTCCAAGTGTTGCTTCGTGGTATATGTGGACTGAGCCTTTATGGCTATCTGGCAACGAATCTTTGGACTTCAACTTTTTGGTTGAAACAACTTGGGCTTTCCAAATTGGACCCACAAAAGATGAGGGCCGTTTTGCAGAGTCGTTTGCAGCCAATATGTGGCGTGGAAAAAAAGAAAAAGGCCCTTGCGCGCATTCCCCCCGCGCAGGAACTTCTAGACCTCCGCGGCAATCTAGATTGCCTGGAGCGGGAGCGGGACTACTACTTCAGGCGAAACCTGTCTCAGCTTCAAAGGCTCTTGCAGTGCAAAGGCGTCCTTGCGCTGAGATGACTGGAATGACAACCCGTCCGGGTGTTGGGGAATGAACCGTATGAAAATTCACGATCAGGGGTGGTGTTTCTCGGGCCATGCCATTTCTCAGGGACCCTGAGGACCAGCAAGTCTTCATGTCTGCAGAAGGGGGTTCCAATTCGGAGTTTTCAGGTGAGCCACGTTCTCAAAACGAGGGTAGATGAAGGTTAGTCAGGGAGAATCCCAACCAGAAATAGGTGCCTTCGCCGCTTCTTAATTCTTTACATGGTTCTGGGTAGACTATTTCAATACCGGGTGTCGATTGTGACTCGGTTTGGCTGGTTGCAATGCTGAGTCGAATAATTTCTCGGCCTTTTGGAGGGGCACGAGTTGACGCACTGCCTTGACAAAAAGCAAAAAGTGAGCCAAAGGTCAGACTTGAAGCGCTGAAGCCAAACAGAGTAGGGATGGACAGCTCGCTTTTGCTGAAGCGCTGTGTTTGGCGTCCTCCTGACAGAGAGCTATTCACAAGCCGGTTCTAGTGTGGCGGTCTTCTGGGCACATTGAGTTGTGAGAATGAGACAAGGACAGTAGGAGGTCATTCCCCCCTTGGTGGTTTCCAGGCGTCCCCTGAGGTTTTTAGGTTTTTTGGAATTAGTCCCGGGGGGGGGGGTCCTTTTGACCCACTAAAGGCTAAGGTTTTAGCGGGGGATCTGAGGACAGCCCAGCCCCTTCCGGCAATTCGCACAACTGTCGCCAGCCCCGCGCCAGGAAGCTGCGGGACGTGGAAATCCTCTGCTTGACCTTGAAGGCGTCTGCCGTTCTTTGCTCCCATGTGGAGTTCCATTGCCTGCGTGGTTTCTTTCCGCCTGGTTACGGGAATACGAGAAGAGGTTTTTTGCTAGCAATCCCAGAGCACTCATGATGCCAAGGGAACATGTGCAGCTGGCAGGGTTTGCACAGAGAGCCTCTGTTTCTAATAGTCTCTGAAAGCGTTATCTCCAAATTTGCCAGTCGTCCAATGCGACACTGTCAGCCTACCCCGAAACCACAGCCCCACAAGCCACAAGAGCCACAATCAAAACCCGGGTAGATGAAGAAGGTGTGCAAGGGGCAGTCCCAGCCAGAAATAGTTGCCTGAGTCGCCTTTACATGGTTCTGGGGATCGGCCATAAGACCGGGTTTTGAGCAAGTGACTCACAAGAGAGACTCTTGAAACACAAAAATCCCGGCGGCTGCTCCGCTTCGCTGGTAGGCCAACATGGATCCGGAGCTAAAGGCCGAGAAGGTGGTGGAGGACGTCCAAGGCGCCTAGATCCGTGGACATGTTCGGGTCCCAAGGGCCCCGGCTTATAGGTCGGTGTTGGATAGAACACATCGCCGGTTTCTGGTGGCCCAGAGAGAAGAATCAGAACTGATGCACCAAAGAAATCGCGAATTGCTGGATTGCTACGCTTTTATTGCTTGGCAGTTGCTCCGCGCAGGGTTGGCATATCAAACATGGCTTTTGTTTGGATGTCCTCGTAGCTGCTTTTCCGGGTCCGTGCATTCGAGAGGCAAAGCGAGCGTTCATCGCACACCAAGGCTGCAACTGTATTGGCTGCTTGATTGATCGGCTGTGGCACGTTTGTGCTTGGCAGAATGTATCCAGCAATGTGAAGCTGTTTCTTAACTGCCTTGAGCAGATCATTGGACTTGAATCACATTTGCTTCATGTGTACATCCTTGCAAGGGGCCTGCAAATCATATTGGCTCCATCCTTGTGCGCTGTCATGAATTACCATTGGCTTCCGGACTGTGTGCGAGCTCACATGACTCGTGGTGTGTGTGTGTGTGTTGTGGGTGTGTGTGTGTGTGTGCTGTTTTGTGTGTGTGTTGTGTTTGTTTGTGCCACTGAGTTTGGTCATCAAACAAGTGTTCTCGCTGCCTCTCGCAAAGGCATCCTGTATGCTGAGAACGATGAGGCCTGATCCCGAATTCAACTTTGCGCAGAGGCATGTTGCAAGACCTTGCAAGCACTGTAAGTACTGGCGATGACACAGTGGTTGCACCATGACCCAATTGGCATGAATTGGCCATTTGTTGCCAGTGCTGCTGGAGTCTCTCCGTCCCATTATTGTTTTATGTTGGCTTTCGTTTCGAGTGTTCTTTCTCCCTTCCGTTGCGACAGCATGGTTGCTGATTCGTATCAGATGTGCTAGTTCAAGGCACAGATGTTCATTGACAACCAAGAGGAAGAAGCGCACTGTCCACCGTGGCACACAGCCCAGCTGTTTGGACCTGTTTAAGCTGATCAAGCAAGCTACGGTTGGTGTCCCTTTCTGGCGGACCAATGTCCAGTGCGTTCAACTTGTGTCTTCTAAGCCACACACACGAGTTCTTGCATGTACTCTGTGTCTTAAAGATCACCTTTTTTGCCTGTAATCGTGTCTTCTTTTGCTTGGGTGATCTTGAACTTACCAGGGAACTTGGCGGCCAGGCCGAGGTGGATGCGATGTGAGGCCCCCTGAGTTCCGCTCCAGAATTTGGCCCTGGTGAGTTTTCTGAGCTCATCCAGCGCTCCGCATGGCATTTTAGGCTTCCGAAAGCGGTAGCAGAATCGCAGTTCAAATGGAATCCAGCGCTGGTTTCGGCGCGAATTCTGCAGAATTCAGTGCATCTGCCATGGCCTTTTCATGGCAGTAGCATGGCAGTTCCTCGCACAGCAGCCACGTTGGGCACAGCCTATCACCGCCCCGGTTGGGTTTATGCCAACACAAAGTATAATAAAGGCCGAAATAATTGGATCCCTTTTTTTCAATCAGGCCCAAAACGGGTACCGCCAAAAAGGATACCGTGCGTGTTTCATGTGCGAGGGTCGGCCCAATTCAAGCGATAGGCTGGTAGGCGTGCCCCGACCTGAGGAGCCTGTAGGGAGAAAAGCGAGCGGACAGATGTGGTTAGCTTCTATGGCTTCCACTGGCGTCGCGTGCAGATCAGCTCTGAGGTGAGGCCATGGCAGGTGAGTCAAGATCTGAGCCCAGGGGGACCACGTCAGCCAAACCAGAACGCGGTGGGGCCAGGGCAGGTTGTCCAGACCATCTGGCCTTGCAAAGTGGCAGCGCCGGCCAGCCTCGTGCAAAGCTGTGGTGTTCGAGGAACTGCACTCACTTGTAGGTGCACTTGTCATATCGCAAGCCACTGTCACTCCCGCGAAACTGGCCATGCCGACATCAAGGGGAAAAAAAGAAGGAAACAGAACAAGCTGGCCAGGCCATCTCAGAGTCCTTCCCCAAACGGCCCCGGCCGAAGATTCCGCCATGGTGGACCAAGCGACGGTGTCGGATGATCCTTTGGCCATCGAGGCTCTGCATCAGGAGAGCCGAGGGGCTGGGGAGCGGAAGCACCGGAAGCACCAGCTGGATCGCAGGTTTCGTCCTTTCCATCGACCAGGGCACCGCATGTTGGGGTTTACCAACTATCTTGGACCTCCACACCCGCAGGAAGGCGGCTTTTTTTGGGTGACTGGGAAAGTCTGGAATGTCTGGCTTTCTGTTGTTGACGGCTTGCACGGCACTTTGGTCGGTTTTACTCGGTTTCTCTCGACTTCCCTTGGTGGCTCCCAGCCATCCCCTTAGCCTTTTAGCTTTTTAGCGTTTAGTGGTAGTTTCTATTTAACCCACTAAACGTTTAACTTTTAGCGGGGGGTCTGAGGGAAGCCCAGTTTACCTTGAGCGCCCTTGAAGTTTTGCCACACCCTTGCCCCGAAGTCTAAGAAGCTCTTGCAAGGGGTCGACAGGGATGGTCCTCAAGCATGCCTTGCAATTTGATCTTGCCATTGAGACATTGACCACTATTCGCCCCCACAAAAAGTAAGATTCAGCAAAGCAAGCATGAAGTAAGGGTGCTGGGGGCAAGGTAGCAGCACCGGTGGCACTGAAACCATTGCCTGGCAACCTGCATGAGCATGCAGCGGCATCTGCTGATGCCATCCAAGTGCATGTCAAGCCTGTTTCAGCAAAACGCATCCAGGGCAACGCAACTCAAGCAAATCAGCTTCAAGACTACTGAGTCGTCTAAAAACATGGAGCCCTCAGATCGGCGATGCGTCAGCCGGCGCGTGAAGCCAAAATCTCCCCTTCCGCGGGGCGAAGGAGGGGAGGCTATTGGACACGAGCAGGAGAAGCCTAGTAAGGTGAACAGGGCTCCTTAAAAGAAGTTCATGTTGCTTGCAACCAGTTGAAACATGTTGCTTTTGCCACACCGAAATAAAAGGACACCACCATTTACAAGTTGCAATGTTCAGGTGTATAATGCATCCGGATCCCTGGTGAAGAGGGATGAAGGGCTGAGTTGAAGCCCTTGATGAGCCAAGTGATTCACGGGTCAAGAAGGGATGGCCCCTCTCTTTCAATCGCCTTTCTGTTGGGGGTCCATGACACTAGGAGACCCGTGCGCTGCACGGGGAGGTGGACGAGTGTTTGGCATCCCTGGAGGAATGGCGGCAACGGCGCAAGAAGGACTGGTGGAGTGGATGGACACCCAGAGGTTTTTCAGCGGTTTTCTCGCAGAGAAATGGGTGGCTCGTCTTTTTTAGAGGAACGCCCAACTAGCACTCGTGACACTCTGCTTTCTAGGTCAGGTTATGTTTGGGACACCTGTGAACCTGCCCTGGGGCTGAAGCCGATATTCCTTTCGGCTACATAAATCAAAAGGAGCAAGTGCCATACATCTTCCCCAGAAGCTCCCCTTTTTGCTTTTTTGCTTTGTTGGGGTCCCTTTGTTTTCCACTAACCAGGCAAAAAGGATATGTTTTTGCTGGGGTCCTAATTCGAGCCTAGGCATGTGTTTACACGTGATGTCCACCTGCATCTTCAGGACTTCGAGGTGTTTGAGGAGGAGATGGGGAAGTACCAGTGGGAAAGGATCGAAGCAGACTTGCAATTGCTCGACATGGAGGCTGGATGCAGCTGCATGTGCGTACTCGTGACAGCAGCACGTCATAGCTCACTTCTTGGTGGCTGAGACTTGTAGTGTTTCCCAGGCCTTGTTGCAGAATGCCGGTTGGCCACATGTGTCATTCCTGTGGCAGGCCAGTGGCACATCCTGGCAGCCAGTCGATGCCGCTGAAGCCTTCTCAGCGGTTGCTACATGCGGCACAGGCAGCGCAGCAGACGCTGCCACGGACGCTGAAGCAAGGGATGCGGGCGACGTCGTCGCTGCTGCAGCGCCGGGCCCGGCCGAAAGCGAGCGCCTGGCAGCTTTGCGGGCGGAAGTGGAGGCTTTGCGCCGCAAAGAGGCGAGGAGGTGAAGTGGCGACTTCCATTTGCTCAAGAATATTTTATTTTACTTTGTTCTGTTGGTTTTAAAGGGAATCTATCACTACTGGTTTTTTCTTTTTTCCAGGGGTCTTAACCAAATGGAAGGCGAGGTTGCGGCTGGGCTCAATCCTGTGAATGAGCGTCGCAACCAGAATCTCTCAACGCCAGGCGGAGTCAGAGAAGCTGCTCAGTCCTTCAGAGGTGCTTGGTCCAGAGTGCCCTGGGCGGCAACCTCACATGCAATGCAAAGTTACGGCGAGCTCTGGGGGTAAAAGTTTGGCAGGATGGGCATGGTTGGCTCGCAACTGAGCTCGTAGAGGACGACTGAGCCCGCAGAGCAATGCACTCATGCCAGTTGCATGCACACCCACTCAACTGAACCTGTGCACACATGCTAGCCAAATGATGAACACACTTGCTCAACTAAGCCCGCACATATACGTTCAAGCGTTGAGCGTCAAGCGCGTCAGTGCTGAGCCTAGCCTCAGTCATACTCGTTCTAATTTATTGGGCTGACCGAACAGTTTGGCCAACAACCTGGGCTGTGACCCGCACTTTTGAGCTTGGCATGCTGGAATCAGGGTACCTTCCACGACAACATTTCAATAACAGCGACGAACAGGAAACTAGCAACGACAAGAAACTATTTTCATACCACCCGGAATGGCTCTTTGCATGCTGAAAAGCCCACGGTCTCCCCACATGCTGTTGGGGAAGGGACTTCACCGGGGCACGGTTCAACCCAAATGGCACATATCTGATTAGAGCGTGCGTCGGAGGTCAAAAGGGTAGACATCTACCCAAAGACACCTTCGCTTGCCGATGCCCGGTAGGGACGCAGTGGCAGGCACAATCATCATTGGTGTTGGCCCCGGATTAATCAACCCCTATTCATTTGGTGTTGTCCCCTCCAAAAGTGGTCTAAATCCCCACAAAAACCAGACACACCCTACTAATTAAAAGGGGTTCTGCTTAATCCGGGGTCAACATTGCGGCGTGAGTTGTGTGATTCTGCTTCAGCAGGCGTCTCGAGCGGCGCCTTCATAACCAGCTTGATGCGACCCGATTGTTTTCTGCCACCCTTTGCTGGTTGTCGGTTGGAATTCATACTGAACTCCATCTTCAACCTCGCCAGTTGTTGTCTATGTTCAGCAACTTATTTAAGATGTTGTTTGTTTTCCATGGTCCATGATGTACATGCCCCCTGAAAGACAGGGGGTCGCTCAGGTTCTCAGAGGAGGACTGGGATGAGTTGGAGCAGAACTTGCTGCGGACTCGTGGGGAGGTAGACCAAGTGCAGGAGTCGCATCCTGGACTCGCAAAGTCGTAGGGCTGGAGCCGGGCTGTAAAGATGTGGGGGTTGATCAAAGGGTCCTTTACATAGGATGACCATTGAGGGAAACCGCCAAGAAGCGGATCTTTCCCACATGAGAAAAGTTACCCATGGTAATTTGGGGGCCAACAATATCGATCAACCCCCATGTGAGCGCCCAAAACTGCTAATTGCCGTTTTGGGTAGGTGGCTTGACTTGGTTTCAGGACATCCACAAGGCCTACATTTCACAACCATGTTGGTACGCTGCTCATGTGGCACAAATTCCAGTGTTTCTGTTTGTGTGTGTGTGTGGGTGTGTGTGTGTGTGAGCGTGATTGTGGCAAGTCTGGCATCGCCAGATTCCAGGACATAGATTGAAGCGTCGGGCAAAACTGTCACCATGCATCAAGCATAAGCCAAGCACATTACTCCCCTTTTGCTGTGTCCCACGGGTGTCTTTCAGTGCTTGCTGCTGCGCTTCTTCTGACGCATGAAACTGTGAACGTCAGAAGGATCCTGACGCGTTTCCCCCGCTTTCTGCATGGTACCTTAAGTTTGGCAAGGCCACCAGGTCCTGCATGATCTGTAATCAGAGTTTCTTTGTTATAGGGTCCGTTCCCTTTGATGCAGCGTTGACTCATCCTGTTGCTGGTGTGCAAGAAGACCCCGCTTTCTGAAGTTTTGTTTCATGAACATGTCCCTCAGCATTTTGATTTCCTATTGTTTTGGCCAAGCATTTTGCTCGCGAATCTCATGCTAGCCGCAGCTAGCCCTGGTTTGCCAAGCCCCATTAAAGCCACCCAAGGGGCGAAGCAGCACTTGGAATGTGGTTAAAGGGACTGCGGGCAACACTGGCTCCTTCGCGGGAATCCTTTGTGTGTGTGTGTGTGTCCCACTCCTATCCTGTGCCACTTTGCACCGGCAATGACAAGCAGGACCCTTATTCTAACCTCTCTACTGGAGGACCTAGAAGTAGACCTCTTCTGAGCAGCTTGGTCAAGCTCGCAGCTCGCAGACATCCTTACCGGCCGGTGCCACGCTCCAGCCGAGGATCGCATCAGCTGGCAACCAGAAGCTTGGCAGAGCGGTCATAATATCGGTATGGGTCAAAATTAAGCCAACAGGGACCGCAGGTTTTGGTCTATGTTTCTGTTTACCAGGGTCCGTTTTGGGTATCTGTTTTTGACCCACAGCCAGCCCTGCATTTTTGCAGGGATTGTTACCCACCGGGGGCGTTGCCCGGTAAAGACTTGGGCAGCGAGACTCTGTGATACCAAGCGAGACACCTTGAAAGTGCCAAAGTAGAAAGTAGTCGCAGAATGGCCCACTTGCTATCACAAGAAAGACAACATTTCACAACCATTGGATCATGGAATCATGACCATTTCCATGCGGGGACTTTCGAAAATGAAACCACTGCCCCACATGCAAATGTGATCTCCTTTCTATGATTCGGGGCCAAGGCGAAACACAACCATGGGGAGCAAGGTCGCTTTTAGACACACCCAGGTGCCTGGGTTCGGCAGAGGGGTATTTGAGATAGTCGGACTGATTGATTTGCAAAAACTCCGCGAGCAATCGCCTACTTGGTTTTCTTGTCCAAGCCAATTGTTGGCAAGGCATGGTTTGCAGGTGAGTAGTGAGTAGTGAGGTTTGTCGCGAGCAGAACTTTGGGTTTGATGTTGGCCTTGAGGCAAACAGCCCCAAATGGACCTTTGAACCGTGGGGATGGCCTGAGGATGGCGCAGGAGTTGCAGGAAATGGAGAAGATGCTGGCGGAGTGCGAGGCGTTCCGCCTCCGTTGCCATGGGCCCCTGGGGCGAGGGTGGGGGCCGTTTTCTGGGCTGAATTCGGTTTGGGTTCTGTCAGCAGGGGTGTGGGATGGGGGTTATCCAGCCACTTCTATAGGGAATCCCTGCCTATAAAGGGTTAGTCTTTGGGGTTAGGCCCTTTCTGTTGTATCACAGAAGCCGTCATTTCACACAGCCCTGGTGTCAGCGAGGGTGCTGTGCGGACCTTGTGCAGTCTTTTGCGCTTACTTTAAGCTTGACAGGTTTGTGTGCGTGACATGCTTTCAGAGCACTTGTTATTGTCTGGGGAGTGAGCAGGTGAAGAAACGTCTGCTTGGGCACTGCGAAGTGTGTGAGTTCTGATTCTCATTCATGTCGTCAATGGTTTTCTGATGTTTTCTGCAAAAATCCGCCAGGCAGGATGTTGACATCACATGAAGTGGGCGTGCAGAGCAAAGCGATATGCATTCCAAAAGTCATACATGTTCATCCAGGAACCAGCAGTCTCTGGGTGCATTGCAGCCACACCACACCTTGGTCTTTGTTGGCAATTGGCGCGTATTGCATGCAAGTTGTTCCGGTTGGTGCCCCTGCTCTAGAAGCTTTCGTGGATACGTGTGGGACTTTGAAGTGGCGACAGACACAAAAAGACAACAATGACATACCACAAAACGCTGTTCGCCAAAGACGGCAGTGTTGCAAAAAAGAGAGCTCGTGCTAGTTGGAGTGCAAGTGGTGGGTGTGGAAAGCTGCCTTCTCATTTCTTCTCAGGGCGATCTCCAAAGAGCCTCAGCCTAGGAAGTGAGATGAGTTACCACAGAGTGACGCTCCTTGCTCAGAACAGTGTCGCCGCGTTGACAGCGACATCCTGGGACTTCAGAGCAGAGTTTCATGGAGTTCCAGCCGCGGTTCCCCGCAGAGCGCGTGCTGGGCGCGGGTTTGGGCATATGTTTCAACACGAGACGTCGTGCCCTGCTGGGCGCGCGAGTGGAGAGTGGAAATGACGTGCGCTTGCAGGTTGCTGTCCGTTTTGCTGGCCATGCTGTTCGTGATGCAAAGGGCGTGGGCACAGGATGGCAAAGCAATGGGAACAAGCCAGTGCGAGTGAAATCTCGGGTGAGCCAGACAGTTTCAGCCACGGGTAGATAAACGAGGGAAACATCATTTCAGCGGATGCAGGATAGATCGCTGGCTATCCCACATATCTACTCTGCAAGCCTTGGCAGTGTGCCTGTGAAATCACTCCCTGCTGAGCTTGGAGCGAGCTGGCTCAAGTCTTCGCAAGCTCCGACATGGAGGAAGCAGTGCCTTGCGAGGGCAAAGACAAGAGCGCCCTGCCTAGTCCAGATTTCTCGTGGCGATTCTCAGAGGGAAAGAGAGCTAGGACAGCGGGAAGAGAAGGAGCCAGGGTGATCAAATGAGTCACGGCCTCAAAATCCGGGACATTGGTGGGTAGTAAAGGGCAATCCCATCCATACATGGGTGCGGATATCCACCATTTCAATTCTTTATATGGTTCTGTGTAGACCATTTTGATACCGGGTTTTGATTGTGACTCAGGTGCTGATCGCATGGATCGGGGTTAGTGATACCCAACTTGACACGGATTGCTGAAGCCGCACGTGAGGTGCGCCTGAGACAAACATGGAGGAAGATTTCAAGCGGAGCCTGGCACAGGCTCGCTCCGGCCGATCGGACCCTGCATTGAAACTTATGCCGGGCTCTCAAAAGGATTGGAGTTCCAAAATGGTTTTCCTTTTGGCTGTTCCCTCTAAAACAGCCCCCAAAGCGTAACCCAAGACATGCCAGTACAACTCACACCTGATTCCACTGGGTCTCCCTACTAGTCAGTAAACACTCAACCAAGGATGGCAATGGTGTTTTGTTTATGGCCATCAAACAAGTGGCTGCGAGCCCATTCCCTTTTACAATCTTCTATCACAAAGAATAAGTCCAGGTGGTATCCCCAACAACCCCGGAACCCCTTCAAACCTCTGTAAAGCCTCCCCCACACCACCCCAGAGCCTGTTTGGGCAGATACCCCATAGCTTTCAGCTGTTGGGGAAACATGATGAAGCTTGTCTTTCGGCCAAACGTGGTCAGCCAGGAAAAAATGCCTTCCACGATCATCTTCCATGTGTGTGGGGAGAGAGGCCGCATTCCAGTTTCAACACGGGCGGGCCTGAACCGACCGCGCGGAGGTAGCACAAAATATTCAAAAATCCTTGTTTGTATGTGGTCGCCGTAGTTTAAAGGGCTGAACCAAAACACGCACTATCGTCCCATGTGATTTTAACGTACCGAACAAAGCAACCCCATTCTTGTTCTCCAGGTCCTTTCGGTACACCAGGGTTGATGTTTTTGGAGTACCCCTTTTCAGCTTGGTTTTAATTGGGACAATCGAACAAAAATAATAATATCCATTTTTGGGAGTGGTAATTGGGACAACTGGGAAGCCCATGTTTTGGGGAGTCCACATGCCGCGTTCCTCCGGTCTCGCCAGGTGCGCGCGGGCTGCGCCGCGCTGCTGGACCAGCTGGTGGCGTTGGAGACGCGTGCGCAGGCGCGGGCCAGGCGGAGGTCCGTTGAGTCGTTTTGGCGGAGTTTTAGTGGGTTTTAACGGGGAACATGTTTTTATGGGGGAATGTTTATTTTTTTTTGGGGGGGGGGACAATTACTCTACTTGTCTTCTACTTGGAGGTTTTTTTTTTTTTTCTGGGGAAGCACCATCTACTTGTCATCTACTTGCAAGTTTTTATGGGGAAAAGCCCATCCCAGGTATGCGTTGAGGTTGGACATAGACACGGTTCAACGTCCAAGAGTGATGGCCCCGAAGTTAGGCTGACATGAAAACCAGCTTTGCTCTTCACATGAGACTGCCGTCTACCTCGTGTTGAGCCATAGGACACCTCGTCCGATGCGGCGGGCTGAGACGCTGATGAATCCCTGCGAAAGGGGTGCGAAAGGGACGAAAGGGATGCGGAGTTGCTCCAAGATGATGCCAGGGGTGGGGCGTGGGGGTTTGTTCCTTGGTGTTTTCGGGATGAATATATTTCGGTGTGGGTCAAAACTACGTACCATGTCCAAATGGAACCCTGGAAGTGGACACATGGACTAAGATATGCGGTCCCTTGGCGGTTTAATTTTGACCCATAGCCGTTTTCGCCTTCAAGGGTTCGGCCTTGTCTGCTGATTCTTGCTCCGCCAAGGCCAAGAAGGAAGAGCCATCCAAGCCAGCGACAGGCCAAGCTGTCGACACACAAATGTAAGTCGTGGTGTATACCGCATACGGCCCCTCGCTTATGTACACGCTACATACACATTGTTGGTGTACATATGTGAATATGTACATATATATATATATATATTTTTTCTGTATACACATGTAATGTGTGCATGCGTGCCAGTGCAATGCAAAAGTCATGTATTCCGGCAGCTGATGAAATAGTCATGAGTTTTGGGGCGTATCTCCAACAAGACACAGCAATGTCCTTGACAGATTGTCTCACCGCAGGTTTTTGCACGCCCAGGACATCGGAGTATATACACCAGGCAAACTTCTGAATGGCGTTCTTCAAAAGTTTGTTCCTGCAAGGGCAGCTGATATATATATATATATATATATATATATGTATACATATACACATACACTACATGTATAGACTGTATAGAAATGTAATGCGTGGTGCTTGTGTTCATTGACGCATGAGCCCGGTGGGCTTGGAATCGTTGGGAACCTGTTGTCCGAGCGTTCTGTTCATCCACCGCGTGTTTGGATTCGCTCCATGCTGGCTTGTTTGTGTCATCCCACCCCCTTCAAAATGGAATTCGGGGAGGGGAGTGACCCCGGGGATTCCATTTAGGGTTCCATTTTCCTGTTTGGGAAGACTGAATAAATGGAATTGTGGGACCCCCCACCCCCCTCCCCCTTAAGGTAGGGGGGATTTGTGTCGATTGGGGGATGTATTTGAGACAGGCACCACGGAGGACAACTACCAGTGCCTGTCAAAGGCCACCATGGAGCTCTTGCGGAATGACAAGGGGACGCTCTGCTAAGGGTCAAAGGGCGTTGTCTCGTATTTTCTTCCCCGGAATTGGCTCCCCTCTTTGCTTTGTTGCTTTTTCCCACCCGACATGAAGGGGTTGTTAGATTTTATGTTGGAATCCGCGTTTGCGATGCTTCTACACCACGCTCCACTGCCAGAGCAGCTCGTCAGTGGATTCCGCCGAGTATCCCGCCAGAGCAGCTCGCCCAGATCGGCTATCCCGCTGAGTATTCCAGAGTAATCGCTGAGTATCCCGCCAGAGTAGCTCGCCAGTGGATCCCGCCGAGTATCCCGCCAGAGCGGCTCACCAGTGGATCCCGCCGAGTATCCCGCCAGAGCTGCTCGCCGGTGGATCCCGCCGAGTGTCCCGCCAAACCAGAGCAGCCCTCCAGGGGATCCCGCCGAGTATCCCGCCAGAGCGGCTCGTCGGTGGATCCCGCCCGCCAGATCGGCTATGCCACCAGAGCAGCCCGCCAGTGGATCCCGACGAGTATCCCGCTGAGTTCCGGAGTAATCGCTGAGTATCCCGTCAGAGTAGCTCGCCAGTGGATCCCGCCGAGCATCCCACCAGAGCAGCCCGCCAGCGGATCCCGCTGAGCATCCGGCTGAGTATCCTAGAGTAGCTCGCCAGTGGATCCCGCCGAGCGTCCCGCTGAGTATCCCTTGCTGGTGGATCCTGCCGAGTATCCGGCCAGTATCGAGCCGGAGCGACTCGCCAGCATTTGCCAGTGGATCCCGCCAGTATCCCGCCAGAGCAGCTCGCCAGTCTGGTTTTGCTTAATGTCCCGCCCTGCGCACAGTTGGGTTACCCTGACCCTGACGCTCGGAAAGGGCGATGCTTTTGTGTCGCTTTGGGTTGCGAATAAGCAACTTCGTTTAATCCCCCGTCGGGTTTCTTTTTGGAAGGGGCTTGGCTTTTTGGTTAACGGAACTGATGTTTGAGTTCTCGAGATCGGCTCGCAGACAAGTGGAGTTTGACGCACAGACAGGTGGATAAGGCTCTCAATGCAAAGCTTGTTGAGCAGTCATAGGCCCCAAGCCACTCGAAAACCATGCTTGAATTCACACAGCCGTGTTCACGGTCGTAAGCTCGTGAGTGTGGAGGGTGGGGATTGCTCGAAGCGACGTATTGTGTTTTTGTTTTTGTTTTCCAATAACCAGGCAAATATATATATATATATATATATATTTGCTGGGGTCCAAATTCCGGCCAAGTTTTCTCCGAACTTTAGTTGCATTGAATGGGCCTAAGAAGCGTGGAAGCACCAGCGAAAGGGTCGACATGTGTTGCACAAACACAAATAATATCTTTGTAGAACTCGTAGAACGTAAGGTATTTGCAATCAAGAGGGCGCTGTCCCCAATGCCCAGGATATCCTTGGAGCAGAGCACCAGCTACTGGGAGAAGCTGTCCGGGTGCCTCCGCAAGCCCAAAGCAAAGGAGAGTGGACGAAGCCAGGCGCAGCTTGGTTCGGTCGGTTGGCCCTGGAACGATCTGAAATTCGGCAGAGGGCTATGTCTGTTTTGGTTGGCCTAAGCGTGTTTTCCGGTGTTCCAGAACATTGCCTTGTCCAATCTCCGGGGCGTTTCGGAGAGCATGAAGCAGCTGTTCTGCAGAACATCACGCTGTTCCTTTGCTTCAATGGATGCCTATCGCGCGATGCCATACGGGCGAATTGCATGTCGAATCCTTATGTGCCAACAGAGACGTACCAACAGGTGGGAAAACTCGGTGTCTCGCTTCCCTTGTGTTTGGTCTCGATAGGTTCGAGAAGTCCTCCCTCATAGAACCATCTTCGAGCTGTCTCAACCTCCGGCTCTTGAAATCGAGCGAGCTGGTTTATTACAGAACTGTTGCCCTTGCTAACTTGTAGCGATCCAAGCCAGTGGAGACGGTTCAACTGTGCGGCCTGTATCGATGCCGCCGCAAATGCTCTCGGCAAATCCTCTCGG